AGCTTTCTCGGGCACACCGAACCCTGTCACCACAGCAGCATTGGCTTCTTGCTTCGGGGACAGCACAGGCAAGGTAAGACACCACCCTTCTTGGGTCTTAACTTAGGTTTTTGGGTTTGTTTTCATCCCGGACTGGGGGAAAGTCTTTCATCATTTTTTTTGTTTGCTCGGAAAAACCCGCCGCCTATCGGTGTCTGACTCTGCCTACAGTTCAAAATAGTCATTTTGACTGATCGGAGTCTATGGTGGGTATGAACAATGTGAATAGGCGGGTTCGGAGAACCCTTGCCTAAATTTAGATGGCCTTGTACGTCTAATAAAGCCAATTTTCTTGTAGTTTTTATTTATTCACATAAATGGAAATTACTGTTGCATAGTAATGATTTGAGCTTAATCACTCAAAATAACAATTCACAATGACCGATGAAATTTGACCATTCAAAATGTTGATTAAGCTACTGATTTGAACTGATCAGAACACGTTTTTGGAGAATGTACACAAGGAGCTTCCTAACAATACCACTCACCATCAGTCCAACATATGGTACCAAGTATAACAAGATATACAACACAAGGTCGCCAATTCATAAAATTAAGAAAAAATGCAAATGCATGATTATTTCTTAATTGTAGTGCTGCATGCCATGATGTACATATCTTATTTTGAATACAATAGTTGTTTTCCTACATTACCACTGGGTATTCATGTTCTGGTATTCAGTACTACCAACTATCATCTGATATACTGACTTTATACGACACTGAATTTTCACTCAAAGTATGACATTATGTGCATATAATACTATATTAAAATACAAACTTTTTATTGAAGATGATTGTATTTGAACCCAAGGTATCTTGCACTTTCTTGATCTTCATAGACTTGTTTCTTTTTTATCTACAGAAGAAAAGCTTGATACAGTCAGTCCCCAAAGGTAATGATTAAAATGTCTTATGATACTACAAAAAATATCACATACCTGTAAATGAAGAAGTCGCAGTAAAAATCTTGCTATCCTTTGGACGTAACTATGTCACAGGAACTGTTCAGAAGGGTCTCATCAACTAGCCTAAAGAACGTCATTTCTCAGAGACGCCTGGACAGATTTTGTAAGCTTGTACAAAGACAAGTCGTAATGGGAGACATGTGCACATCGATTTATTTTTGATTTGGTTGACCTTTGACCGACTAGCGCTAATTCTTGTGCCAATAAAATCAACATTTGGACATGTCATCATCCGCTTCTCGGACATGGCTTGACCGACTTCATTCAAACTTTGCATTGACATCAGTCACAGTGGGTTACTGATGCACGTCATTTCTTTCGTGATTCGATTAAAAATGGCAGACTGGTGGTCATTTTGTTTTTTACGAGCTCATTTTACAGGGAGGATTCTATAGATTTGGGTTAAATGTTGTTTTCAGTAATTTTTCGTTTTCATCGCAATTTAGCCGAATCATGAAATTCAAATATGTCATCAACTGAGCATATTAGCAATATGCAATAAATCAGCCTTGTACTCATTGCCATAACCATTCTGACGACCAGTGGTTCAGTTGCCCTATCTTTTTATGAACTCCATACGGGCAGCCGTCTGACAGACTTAGTGCAGACACAAATTTATTATGGACTATTATGTTACTTTACAAGAATCTTAGAAATTCTGGCTTCTTTTCTATTGAATTTGAAAAAAATTGAAAAAAAAATATTTTCTATATAAATTGTACAGAAATTTCTGAAATTACATCACATTAAATACATTTATTTTCACAGAATTCTGTAGAATTCAACAGAAATTCTGTTGATCGTTGTCATGAGGGTTGGTACAGATTCTGTACGACAAGTGGTATGTTAGCGTAGTTTGTTATGAACTGTATGGATAGTTAGTATGGCTTCCATCTATCTACTATGGAACTCCCTCTTTTTGGTTCTCTTGAATTTAAATGGACACCATACGGTCAGTGGGACAGCTGTTGTAATTCATCACTCTGTAACGGCAGTCAACATGTCACTTAATTCCACCAAGGTGGATCCATTCCACCAGCTTCTCACTTTTTATGTTCGTGACCTCAACAATGTTATGAAATTAATCTCTATAAATCACACTATTTGGACCAAACCAACAATTAACTTATTTGAGGTCTTTTCCATCATCTAATTTTACAAAATTGTCTCTTATTATCTTATCATAGTGTTTAACATTTATTCAAAATAGATTATCTTAGTCAAACTCACTGATTTATGAATAATGATAATGACTTGAGCTCACTTATTAGTTCCCATTTGACAGGGTCTGGCGTTTTTGTTCATGTGTTATAACAGTGTAACATTTCAATTGTATTGATAGATACAGCTACATATGTGGAAACGGAATTGGATCTCAGTCACGAAAAACATAAATCTATAGATTTATCAAGACTTGGCCTGTATAAACACATGAGGATTTTAAACCTGCAACATAATGAACTAAAGATAGTACCATCTGAGATCGGCGAATGCCACGAATTACAGAAATTAGATTTATTCTCAAATGAGATTGAGAAGATACCAGATTCATTATGTGCATTAGAACAGTTGACCGAACTTGACATGAGCTCCAATGCATTGACTGCTATACCAGATGAGATTAGTAAATTGAAGAGATTAAAAACAATGAATCTATCATACAATAATATTGAAAGGATACCAGATCAATTGTGTTCATTGGAACAGTTGGCTGTACTTAACATGAAATACAATGCATTGACTGCTATATCAGATGAAATTGGTAATTCAAAAGGCCTAAAGACATTGAATCTATCATACAATAAAATTGAAAAAATACCAGATTCTCTGTGTGCATTAGGGCTGTTGACAGAACTTGATATAAGATCCAATACACTGACTGCAATACCAGATGGTATTGGCAAATTAATGAGTATAAATACAGTGAATCTTTCGTACAATAGGATTGAGAAAATACCAGATTCATTGTGTACATTAGAACAGTTGACAGAACTTGACATGAGATCCAATGCATTGACTACTATACCAGATGAGATTTGTAAATTGAAGAGTATGCAGATATTGAATCTATCCTCCAATAAGATTGGACAGATACCAGAATCATTGTGTGCATTAAAACAGTTGACAAAACTTGACCTGGATAACAATGCATTGGCTGCCATACCAACAGGTAAGGTATCAAATAACTAACTTTGACATCTTTCATTTTTATTGTGACATTTAAATTATTAACTAAATGTAAACCTTGAGTCATGCACAGTTCATGGCGTCACACCAATTGTCACCACTGTTTGTTTAAGTTAGATGTATATCTAAATCGGACAAAGTGAGTCTTACTACTGCCAGCATGTATACTCTCGGAATTTAAAATAATGGTATGAACCACAAGGTGCACGGCACCTCCAGGATTATGGCTAATACTTGTTAGAATTTAGAGTTCTCACGTTAAACCGACAGAAGACACAGGCTTGAAATGTGATTTACATATATACCAATTAGCCTATCAGCGTTCGTGACCAATATCACATGGTTGCTGTTAGCCAATTACATTAACTGTTGCAGAGATGTGCACATGTTCAAATGTATATCAACCTATTCAGCAGTGGTAACATGATATTAATAGACCATTTTCCGTACACTGCGAGAATCACGCGTTATGCGTGAAATCGAACGTAAAAACAGGACAAACAAAGGTCATAGCGTCGTAGTCGCGTCAAACATCGCGTGGGATTCGACAAACGCGAAAGTATTTCGGGGACATTTCCATGCTTAATAATGTGCTGTCCACATTTGATGATAGGCAATTTCAAGTAAGTGAGGGTATTCGGAAGCAATATTCCTCTGTCGAAGATCGGCCGGTCAATGTAAGCTGCGAAATAAAGAAATTCTAGTTCAAAATCAAATCGTTCGATTTTTGCAGCAGACGTTCGACGCGCGTCTTTCATGCATCTCGCGAGATCTCGCAATTGATCGGAAAATCACCTATTGGGAAAACAGAATTTTGGAGGTTTCAGTCAAATCATGTTGATGTTCAGGCTGCCAACGATACCTAAGTCATGTCGACCTACACTCTGTGTGTTTATCTCACTGTAAGGATCATCGTAAAGCGATTTTATTGTCTGATTTTGATCATTTGAATGCCACTAGACGCCGCTTAGTTCATTATAAAGAAGGTGACTTTGGCTAAACACGGCGAGACTCTATAGGTATCACATTCACTACTTCTCCTATCCTGCTCGACAACCAATTAACTAAGTTGCATTTTGGCTTGATAAAAATGCCTTCCTTTGTCATATAAACCATTATCAAGTTATTCAGGCTTAGGAGGCCCATATGCACCACTACAAGTCACTTCTAGCTAAATCATAGCAGCCTACTCTCATTCCTGATGTGCCGTGTGGAAATGAAATTAAGTATTGAAAGATGCCTTGGACATTGCTTCACTTCGGGTTGAGGCTATATTTTTGGACGACTCTCTGACCTCCCAAGTTAATAGTTCTACATTGATTTATTATTTGTCTGTGAAAACAACAACTGATGTCCAGGCAATAAAATAGTTATTCGCTACATTGACTGGACTTGACATTAAAGTTTACATCGTCTGACCAATTGTTCTGCTGTAATGATAAACTATCAGAAAAGAACCTTGTGAAATGTCTTACCATGAGTTGTTTATTTAATATATACTGTGCCCTCAACTCAATGTATTTTATGAGGCAGCACTTCAGATCCGCACAATGTATATTTAAATGTGGACTTGCACAAATTGGATAGATTACATTATCTGTCAGCCCCTTGAGTCTGATCATGTGACTGTGTAAACGCCAGCTTCAGACCGTCTTTGTACATTGTCAAATTACCCGCCACCTTGTGAACCTGAAGTATCAGACTATGTTGACCGCTCAACCCCGTTACCGACTATCTCGCATTAATTGCTTTACAAGGCATCATTGGTTGCCCCACCATCCTCCACTGTGGATTATGAAACTTTCGTGTATATGGAAAAAATGATGTGCCAGATGTCCCACCTTGTATCTTTATGTGGAGATTTGACATTCCATGTTGTTGAACTTACCTACCCTATATTATGTTGATGGTGGGTTAAAGGCCAGAATTAACTAGTAATGTGTTATCATGCATCAGTCTTGCAAATCTACTTATACAACATTAATGCGTACACTTTTTAACATTTCCACTGATACTAGTGCCACTCAGGAAGTTTCCTCTATCAAACAATACACCAATGACACTGATATCCAATTCAAGGGTGGACACCCCTTCTCCAATGTACTACTAGCCTCCTTTGTCACTACTATTATACCAGCCAAGGAGGCATACCATTAAGGAGTGGGTCCTCCTGTTTGCTTCCATTTTATGCGAATGGTACCCTGATTGAACACATCAGCATGCGGTTTTACAAAGAGATATACAGGCACTATGCTCAATCACCCTTTTGTAGAACAAATCGGTCGTACAAGAGCTAATGGTGTTACTACCGTTTTTCCGTCTATTTTACATTAGCTGGCCAGACATTTTGTATCATGCAGATAATAAGGCCCTCCACATTGAGAAAGATCAAATCAGCTACACTGTGTTGGTTGTATATCAGTTTGGGTAGAAACAGTGCCAAGGTATTGAAGATGACATTAAAACACCACTCAAGTGGGTGTTTTTGAACGCACTGAATTTGGCTACACCAAGCTAGTCCTTGTTGTTTGTGTTGAAATCTTCAGCATGTACCCTGAAAACAGCAATATGCTGTGTGAAGGAGGACAATATTTTTGGTATCCTTAACTTTGACATGACTATGCAGGAAACACTCACTGACAAGGAAACTGTACATTGAAAGATCGTTTTAAGCAGAAATGCTGTACTGATTTGTATACTTTATACAAAGCCCATGACAAAAGTATTTATAATTTTAAAAAAATCGGCATCAGAATAGTGATAAGTTTTACTATGGCGTTTCTACTACCGGGAAAAAATGTTATTTGAGTTCACATTTTAGTGTTTAATAAATATTGCATTTGATCAACACTCGGTATTAAATTATTGATGTGTGACATCTGCGTGCCGTCTTCTACTAATACAATGCTAATGATCGTCACTTAAATAAACCTAGTTCAGACGTATAAGTTTCATCCATGTTACAAGAAGAATGTGATCAGTAGTTAAAAGCGTATGATAGTACATTTAGGAAAACAAAGATGATGATAAGCCGATTCTGTGATTGGGTAACTGTTTCTATTCAGAATCTGAAAGTCGCAGTTAGCTTTCCAACAAATAAGGATGATTTGCTACTTACGACATAAACTAGAAAGGTAATTATTCATTTCGCTAAAGTAGACATAATTTAAATGAATACAAAAGTAATTGGCAGTGACTGATAACAAATGGAATGGCTGCAAGTAGTCGTTCTAGTTGTTGTATATCATTCTAATTTTCTAGTTTATGTATAATTGTCTGTACAGTATCTAATATTGCATATACATTATGGAGAAATGTAAATTTTGTGATAATACTGGGATAATTAAAATTTGATTTTGTCTGTTGGATGTTCAAAATAATATTTAAATTAGTTGTCAGTGTTATCTAGTGTCATGTTTTCGCAAGGATACAGATATTGTGGTATCGATCGCCCAAAGCAGTTACAATTACGTGATTCAAACACTATTCTGCTTGTACTGATGTTCGCACATTTTTCTTCTTCAAGTCAGTAAACAATTATCTGTCAACATGAGTGAAATTTTCGTGACCATAATTAGTAATTTCGCTACGTTACAGGAAATCCCTCGTTATGAATAATTTGTGGTTTTCAGTGACTCACTACTTTATGCGACACTCTTGGGAAAAGCAGATCTAGACTCTAGATTAGAGAAATGCCTTCAAATATGTTGGACATTAGAATTGTCAAAAGAAATAATCAGAGAGAAGGCCCTCTCCCCATAATTATACGAGCTATTTGGCAGTAAATCTGGCTTAAGGTAAAAGTACATTAATATGTTGGTTTCTTTTCCTTTTTCAGACTAAATGTTGTACTCCATTTACAGAAAAACTTTTTTTTTATCAAATCTAGTTTCAACAGTTTTGCGAATATGAAAAAGGTTCCCCCTCTCTTCATATGAGCATTATACTAGTTTTGAGTTAAAGCACCATCAGTCTATTTCTGTGTGATTGATATTTACCATACTTTTTTCTGCTGGTTTCTCTAGTTCCCAGCGTTCTAACGTTTGCATGTCCATTGGAGCTACATGATTACACTATCAAACATTATAATTTTTAGGTTGTGATTATTTGCTTTCAATGTCATGTAATGCTGACTGGTCAAGACATCACCACTGAGTTTGGTGTCGTAGCAACACCCTGTCAATTTTCATTCCTATGCATTCAAGTTTTCGACAAGTTATTCACTTAAATTTTGATTCTGGTAATTATTCAAGTTACATCGAATACAAATACCTGTCTTTTTTATCAATCAGGAATGAAGAACTTAACAAATCTTAGGAGTTTACAATTGCAACACAATGAGTTAAAGACATTTCCATGGAAGATTATTGAAGAAATGCCTGATTTGGAAGAGTTATTATTATGTGGGAATAGGTTAGAAAAAATACCCAAAGAGATTGGAAATTTAACAAGATGTGAACAACAGTGTCTTCTGTGCAAATCAACACTAGCAAAACCAACTACATGTATTTGCTTTGGTAAGAAATGACAAAACATTACTTTAGAGTGTAGACACGCCCACGTTAATAGGACACACGGAATACAGTCGAAATTACATAACATTTTCTTTACACGTACGTGTTGTTGCACTAACCTGAAATTCACATCACAGTAGAAAGTAAGCGCTCTGATAGTCTTGAACATTATTCTGTCTTTACAATTGTTGCAATAAGAAGACTTTAAGAATACATTAGAAACGAGACGTTGTGACATTCCTGTACATTGTTTTGTCTTTAGAAGTGTTATAACAACATGATATACAGAATACAGTAGACTCTATGACATTCCTATACAGTATTTTGTCTTTGCAAGTGTTGTTGTAAAAACACCACTCAAAGAATACAGCAGAAAATAGATGCTGTTACATTAATATAAATTACCATGTATTTAGAACAGAATGCAGTAGGTTAGAACATAACTTCAACTACTGTATTTTCCAATGTCATGTCTGTTGTTATATTAATACATTAATTTTGTTGTAATACTTGTCCAATAATGTTTATTTTGTCCTTAACTTTAAAAAAATATTTGTATGTCATACGTCTGCTTACAGTCGGAAATAAGAAGTGTTATTTTATTTCAGAGTATGAATTTCAAGTAGAAATCCGCCTCAGAACATTGAGCACATCACTAATGCCACAACGACATGCAGAAGCCCAGAAAACCCATTCAGGTACTATTTCAACACAAGGTATATTACAGCTGACCTCACACTGTACACTGTTCATTGCTGTTATAATCATATTATTAACACGGTTTGTTTTACATCGTAGTGTACGGTTTTTGAGTAGTAGGACTATTTGTAATGAGTACATATGATTATTTCAAACTAAAATTTCCACACAACAAAAAAACAGGTTAATCTATCATGATCTGAATACAATTCAAGTAACACTGAATCGAGTTTGAGAAATAAAATTACAGCCAACTCATCATGAACCAATAACGTCTGATTTGTCATACTCTATCACACTCTGATATACCGTGGCAATGTTGTAGTTTTAGATAGAGAGGTTTTCTGAAGCTCTGTCATGGATTGCGTGTTAACACAATTAAGGGTGTTACGTACTTTTTTAGTAGAAGAAGAATTTTGGGCTAATGATTAGTAGAATACCTAATTTATGTACATATCATAGTAATACTACTATTTGTTTGTCATGTAGTTACTAACCATTGTACCTGACGTCATATAGGTTCCGTAACTCAAAACTAGAGACATCATCTCTATGACATATTAATGAACATATATGGCTTTCATTTATTTGGGTTTGAGTTTGATGTCAACAAAGTTCGAAACGTGGATTTATAATTCGGTTTCAGTATGTCCGCACATCCATACGTCCTGAGTCATACACAGAACTATGTGAATCAAATCTGTACATTATTTGCATATGCAGTGCTAGTGGTTTACTGGTGCAATCCAAGATGGCTGACTGGCAGCCATTTTTTTTAAATGCGGTGTCTTATGCATGCTTTGCCAGTTTCGTTCAAATTATTTATTAGAAGTAATGTTATTAGGTATTCCGATGACAAATAAACTGGTACACACTTGGACATACATGGACAAATACAATTCATCTTGAACGCACAACAAATCATGCATAGCATATCCAGTTTAATTGTCGACCAAATATTTCGATTATACGATTATACCATTGCTAAACACGTGCTCAACAAGCATTAATATTGCATTGAATTTAAATCTCAGGTTTGAAACGAGAAATAGAGGGCTGTTGGGAGGAAATGGAAGAGAACTATCCAATGGAACCAAGTAGGTTAAGCATGATTACATCTAACATTAAACTATAAACGTCAACTTTTGCTTTTGTGTGAATGTTACAAAGAACAAAATATCGCTTTAATTTGTTGAAACAATATATATAAAATAAAACAATGGCCAAAAAGGCATGTTAGCCAATTTAAGCTCGTGCAAAAAGGATATAAATAAAACACAGGTTTGCCGGGCCTCCGATATTCGCCGAAAAACTGTTTTAAAAGTACCTAATAGGGAGTTGTTACTCACCAATACATAAAACTTCACAAACGAGATCAACAGCTGAAGTTCGTCCTGACAAATCGCGTTGCAGATAAAACGCCATGAAACAAAAACCATTGGCTAACAGCAACCATGTGATATTGGTCACGAACGCTGATAGGCTAATTGGTATATGTGACTATTGGCCATGACATTTTAATGGATGCTGTTCCAGAGCTACGTCTGTTGCTGCCTGTATCATTTATTTTCAAATTTTACCCCTGTGTCACAAAAATTACTTTAAAATATAGTGTGACATTGATTACCGTAATATGAAAGGTGATTAATTCTGCATATATTATAGTTGTCAAGAAAACAAATTGTTCAAGAACGCAAATTCAACAAGTAACTGTCAGCGATCGACAAAAAACGAAGTTACTGACAAGTATGGTACACTGCATAGTCACATCAACAATAAAATGATATACGAGTCTAATAGTATAATATAATAGTATAATAAGAAATATGCGTATCATTTTGTTTTTAGTCCCCACAGTAATGCTTGGGGGATGTACTACACAAATACTTTCCAAAGAACCCACGCTTGAAGAACAATCACATTTAGATATGGGTGAGTTTGCTCGAACATTTGTGGTTACAATTTATATTTTCGTTAATTCTTCTGCATGTATCCTAGATTGCTTTTGCAATTAACATGGGTAATTCTATTTAAGTTCGTTCCACAAACGGCATGTATAATGATTTCTGACCTATATACCGGACATGACTCTTGAATCGGGAAGGTCAAGTCTCACTTATTTTTCATTTGCTTTATTGCTGAATATTTTTGCATTATTGTTTATCCATCAGATTCGAGATATACAATGTTAATAATGCGTTTTTTGTGTCCATGATATTATTATTGTTTTGTTACAGATACATAATATCCTGTATCCTAAGGCACCACGTGACCAAAGACACAGCTTTGTTGATAGAATTTAATATGTTTTCAAATTTGTTTTACTTGAAGAAAGTCTTCGATACTGGGAATCATTCAATCTTGTTGCACAAAATATCGCTGTACGACAAAGCAAATTTACTTTGTATCTTCATGTCAAAAAACTAGTCAATATATGCCATGGATGGTGAAATCTTGAATCAATTTGCGAGTTAAAAACGGAGTGACCCAAGAGCCTAATAATATTAGGACCGTTACTCTTAATACTTATTAGCTGATATTTTGGTCTGAAATGCTATTTCAATATTTATGTTTCACATGCCAGTGTTACCTCTACTCTGAATTCAGATTTGGATTATTCATTACTGATCATGCTGTGTTTGAATGTTAAAACAAAAATGTATATATGAAGTAAGCACATAATTAGTAGAATGCATCATGGTAGTGTAATGAAATAATTATAGACGGTAACACCATCCACGCCGTCAGCATTTGTGAATATCTTCGTGTTAAACCTAATGTTATTTTAATGACCACTGTACAGATTTATTTTAGACTACTTTGCATAGACTTTGCGATGCACAGTTTGAAGGCATAATATACGGAGTTGTTGAATCATTGTGTAATCTAAACTATACCTTGAAACTGAAAAGATGGACAGACGTACACAAATATGTATGGATATCGTATGGGTGAACACCCACTTGGGTATTTTTATTAAACCAAAAGTTGAAGGGCGACATGCCTGGCACAGACGGACACGTGAACAGTAATTGGTACAGGTTACTGAGTGAGGCCACTGTCATTGTTCGGGGGGGATTGACTATGAAAATTGTTGCGTAATGTTACACGTTGCTTTTATTCCATGTGACATCATGTGGTGTGACATGCTACGGTGAACCAATCTCCGTGAAGAGCATGTTTGCGATTTGTCCACGCCCGTGTGTAAACGTATTATCTATGCCCACGTGTGTGCATGCGACTGTAAAAGCTAGCTACCAGGGTATCATCAACAAATTAAATATACTGATTGTTGGCATATGCGGAATGAACAACGATAAACGAAAACAATCAATATGTATACAGTGTATGAGCACGTGTCTTCTCATACAGTTGAACCATACAACTTCTTCCAATAATGTACAGGTTGAATTTACAATACAAAATAAATTGTACATATATATTGCAGGTGTTGTTTGATTCTTGCACAGTATGTTTTAATTCTAAAAACACCCAACGTCACGTTCGCTTCACAAATTTTTATCTGACGAGTTTTTATTGTGTTATAATGTCTCAGTATGTTTTTGGTTTATGACTGGCATTTCATGTAGAATTGAATGCCGGCCAAACGGCATCAGACCCACACAAACAAATGTCTCGTCGGCATGATCAATACTGCGAATGTTCGTTCAATGTTTATCTTCTTGTTGGAAAGAGTCTGTGATTTTTTGCTGTCAATGCAAACACGGCTTTGATTTCAAGTGTTACCATGACCATTAAAAGGTATATATCAATTTAAAAAATGCCAAGAAAACAACAAACAATTGTTAGCAGGATCAGATCGCTAATCAGCCTGGCTTATTGTAATATTTAGTTATACTATGTCTTCTACCGTGATTTACACTATATCCTTCATTGTATTTGCAATCCATGGCGTTTTTGTCATACAAGTCTATAATACCCTGTATCAATACCAACCATTCCATATTCATTTATTGACGAATTGACGAACATATTCATCTGAAAAACCACGTGGTAAACATAATGGGAAAGATTTCTATTTCTAAACTGAACAGATTTTGACTTGTTTATCACCGAACAAAGGAATGAGGCCGACATTATGTGTGCATGTGAACATTAGTTGGGTAAATATATACTAAATACAGTATACCATAAGTCATTCTGGATATTATACATGGTTCTATAGTTCCAAGTAGATAATACGACAATATTACATTATGTAATACAAAACAGAATAAGGATACAACATTTATATATATATAATCAATGGGATATAATGCACAACACAAGGTGGAATAAGCAAGCAAGGTGACTGCAACTTCTTTCGTGAGACAGCAGGATGCTCAAAGCGAACCCAATTATGTATTTGAACAAATTATGTGTAGTGAATTATTAATTATGTGACTGTACGATATGCTTTCATTCAATTATAGCAAGAAATGTTAAATATTATATTATTGTTTAGTGACTCACCACACATCCCGCCCTTCTGTGCATTTTCAAAACATGTTTCAATTCCCTAAGCACAGTGACCATTAGGTCTAGACTCTAGTGACATGTATACATGTATATACATTGTACATGCTAAATCTATTATATGTTTAACGATTTACAATTTCGACAGTTAGTGACATAATTAACATGCATAAACAGGATTAGTATGATTATGATCCTCATTTATGCCTGTGCTTTACATAGTACCTCTTTATTGCAAATGTATGCAAATTAAACATGAATTCAAATTGAAAAGCATGTCTATGAAGACAAACTTATTACTTGTATTATTGATTAAATTAAAAAGAATTATAAACATGTTACATAATACGAGGTTATTATTAAAGATTCATTACATCACGGATAATATTTGCAATGAAAGATGTACTTGAACATAAATTTCGGTATTTTGTTTTATTTTATATAGTCAAGTAAAGTTTCAGGATTGGCCGCAAGGTGCCATCATACAAGCTAAAACTGTTTGGCACATTTATTTGTGCTGTCATCTAGATGAATATCAAAACATGTTACATGTATTAGCGACATGGAGACGCTATCAGCTTTGAAATTGAAAAATCTGGCTAGAATACTACCACTATGAATTAATTAAGGTCACACAACAGCCATCTAAATATTGTTCACAGAGATGGAGAATAGATGTATATTATTTATGCGCCAGTCGACAGTCACTGTCTTCGTGTACATTTTCCTGTGATAGCCTCCTATATTAAAATGTCATTATTCAATTAGTCTCAAAAGTCATCGTAACTTTCTGTATGTGGCTAAGTTGTCTCTTGACTCGTGGACGAGATCTCTTTGAGTGACATTGTTCAGATATTTATACTCGTATGTGTATAGGAGCGTTGAAGGTTCATTATCAATATAGCGATGTATGTCTGGGCGGACATCCGGGCATTTTCACCGCCTGGCAACCATCGCGGTGAAAACAAAAGCCGAAAACTCTCAGAAAACGGTACTTTGGGATGGTTGTTGGGACTCTCCTGAATAGTGTAACAAGATTATCCCTGCGTGTGTAACATATATAAATTTGGTTGTTCAGGATTACTTCAATGTATAGGTGATGGTATAAAATAAATATTTTTTTGTAGAGTAAGATGGTGTCTTGTCTTGTCTTGCAATAAATAAATCTAACCCAAAATGGTTTTATGGGATGTGAAAAAAATGCTGACCAAATGAACCAGGAAAAAAATTGTCTACTAGTCACAACTAGAAAAAAATCTAAAAATTATTTTTCATGGCTTCCTAGATGGTTAACTCCAAATTAGTGTCATATCCCAACTTGCGTTATTCTTGACATTTGCATACTTTATTATTTTCAGTAAATCAAACTCCAACAGCAAGCTTAATGTGATTGGAAGGTTTTTCGTTTGTTTTGTTTTGTAATTCTGTCTGATATATTGTATGTACTCTCATTTTTTATGTATGATCAGAAACAGCGGTGTTATATCAATCATCAATCGGCTGTACTGTTTATTTGTATTGAACATTGGAAATGAACGAAATAAGCACCCAATACTATTGAGATAAAAGATAGGCAGATTGTAGGGTGGGTGACCTTTATTGTGATCACGTGATTTGTTGGTGACCTCGCATGTACATTTATTCGAATGGAACGAAAAACTCCGATAAGAACTGTCAGTTTGATTGTATTCTGTAGTATACGAATCCTGATTTGGAAAAGTGTCCTGTTGACGTAAATAACTGAATTATATTTGGATTGACCTCTGCCCAGTACATGCATCGATGAGGTCACACCATACCACCGCGCTATTTTCAAAAAAATACTTCCGGGTATTCAGAACTCATCGGTAAATGTTGATTACAGAGACGAATACGGGAATTAGTGAATCCGTGCTGTTGATAACCAGCATCTGAATAGAAATGTTCCAAATATCATTATTAAATGGTCGTGTTTATGCTCGATAAACAGGTGAGAATATTTCAACAAAACCACCGGGTCTTGCGGTTAATAGAGGGCGTTGTAACCTGCTGACATGGACTAATGTACATAATATCGGACGGACATCCGGGCATTTTCACCGCATGGTTACCATCACGGTAAAAACAAAGGCCGAAAACTCAGAAAGCGGTACTTTAGAATGGTTGTTAACACTCTCCTGAACAGTGTGACAAGATTACCCCTGTGTGTGTAACGCATATAAATTTGATTGTTCATGATTACTTCAAAGTTGAGTTCCTGTTATTTTCTCGAATTTTCACAGGCTCTTCACTGAGCGTTCCGCGTTCCCAAGCAGCGCGCACAGAGGCAATATAATGGTGCGCTTCTTAGCAACGGGGAACATCTTGTGACGTAGCTCCGCCCCCGAGGATTGGAAAAATTAATGAGAAGTCATTACCTGAGCACAAATCTTCTCATATATTACTCTCTTGTATTGCTCTCTCAATATCGTACTTACAAACCACATCCACACTACCTTTCTCAAAAATACTTTCTCAGTATCTTATACATACATTAGTGTTCCAGTATTATTTTCTAACATCAATGTCCCAATATTTTTACCACTGTCTAAGTATCTCACTCACACATCACTGTATCAGTATCTTTCTCACACACAATTATCACTGTATCTTTCTCACACATCATTGTCTCAATACCTTTCAAACACTTCGCCTTCTTAGTATATTACTCACACATCACTGTCTCAGTATATTACCCATACATCACTGTTTTAGTATATTTCTCACACATCACTATCTCAGTATCTTACTCACACATCACTGTCTAAGTATCTTACTCACTCATCACTGTCTCAGTTTCTTACTCACACATCACTGTCTCAGTATCTTACTCACGTAACACTATCTCAGTATATTTCTCACACATCATTGTCTCAGTATCTTACTCATACATCATTGTCTCAGTATATTTCTCATGCATCACTGTCTCAGTATCTTTCTCACATATTACTGTCTCAGTATATTTCTCACACATCATTATCTCAGTATTTTACTCACACATCACTGTCTCAGTTTCTTACTCACACATCACTGTCTCAGTATTTTACTCACACATCACTGTCTTACTATCTTTCGCATACGTCACTGTCTCAGTACCTTTCACACACATCAATGTATCAGTATGTTTCTCACTCATCACTGTCTCAGTTTCTTACTCACACATCACTGTCTCCGTATCTTTCTCACACAATACTGTCTCAGTATATTTCTCACACATAATTGTCTCAGTATCTTACTCACACATCACTGTCTCAGTATATTTCTCACACATCACTGTCTCAGTAACTTTCTCACACATCATTGTCTCAGTATCTTACTCACACATCACTGTTTCAGTATCTTTCTCGCACATCATTGTCTCAGCATCTTACTCACACATCATTGTCTCAGTATATTTCTCATGCATCACTGTCTCAGTATATTTCTCACACATCACTGTCTAAGTATCTTTCTCATACATCACTGTCTAAGTATCTTTCTCATACATCACTGTCACAGTTTCTCACTCACATGCCACTGTCTCTATATCTTTCTCGCACATCTGTGACTCAGTATCTCACTCTCGTACC